CTGAAAATTGCCTGGCATCTTGGTCATATCTTTCCTCCATAAATGACTCTTTTCTAAAAGCAGAAAATGAAATAGAATTTTCATTCACCTCTAGAGATAGAGTTGACACATAACAAATCTTTTCACCAAGAAAAATTGAGAACCACCTGTTTTATGCTACTAGCACAGTGCAGAGTAGACATAGTATGCTTAAAAACTGCAGGCAGTACCAAATGGGTGTAAAATGCTACCAACACAGTCTTCTTTTACTTTACAGAGGTGTGCATTACAACAGAAAAGGAAAAGTAGGTTTATCTGATATTGCAAGCTTCTAAAAACCATGATCTGCACTCATAAAAGCAATCCATAATATTACGGGCAACTTTGGCCCTGTAGGAATATAAAATGGAATATGAAGATAGGCCTGAGTTCAGCATTATAATATTTTTTAATAATCCCCTTGCAGAAATGTCATCTATGAAGGAATTCTTGCAGCTGTGCAAAGGTTACTTGCTGATGCATACTGTCTCAGCTCATAACCATCAAACTGCCTTACTGTTAATTTTTAGAGAAAAAAAAAAAAGAAGTCAGGCTGCTCCAGTAGTTAAACAGTTACTTCATGTTTTTTCATGAGAAAAAAGATGACATGGTAATCCAAGGAAAAAACAGCAGAAACCAAAAATGAAAAAAACTATCCCTCAGAAAATTTACGTACGCACATAGACACAAAACTTGATGAGAGAATTCAAAGTCTGCTCATTTTTTAAGCTTGCATGTGAAAGGGCAGATCCTATCCTTTGATTTTTCAAAAGTAAACTACTGACATTCTCTCAAGCCCTTCTGACTAGTCATATACAGAGATATAAATACTTTTTACTGACTTGAATCAATAGGCAACATAAAATTCATGTTGTACATCAATTACAATTAGACGCAATATTTTAAGGGTTTTTTTTTCCTAGATTAAATTTACTGACATTTTCCCCCATCAAAGAATTAATATATTCCCATTACTACCAGCAGTTAAGCAGTTGCCTAAATAAACCAAACAGAATACTCATGTTTTTCCACATGTAGTGAAATAGAGGGCAAATTATCTTCCATCTTTCCTCTAAGTTCCCTTAGGTGACTCATGCCACCTATTACAGACACCAGGAGAGAGTCCTAACTAAGATCCAGAAAATACAAAAATATCTGAACCATGATGATAAGTATTATTTAGACTGAAGCATGTTCCAAGTGAGGGGTGAGACATCCAAGATCCCTAAACTGAAGAAGTAAACGCAGCAAAAACAAAACACGCACACATATATACACACACACATTTCCTAAAATATAATCACAGAACCAATTCAATAAGTGACTTAAACTTATTTATTAAATGGTGTAACAATTAATAATAGTATGCATCAACATTTTCAGATATTTAATTAAGGCTCTATATAGAGAACTTCAATGACAAGGTGCAATGTAAAAAAACAAAACCTTTCCAGCAGGTGTATTAGTCATGTGGCCTTTGGACTGAATGAGTCATGGGACTGCTAATGGGATAAGGATAGGAAGCCTGACACTTCCAGGTCACAAGTTCAACTGGATCTTCTCAGAGCCTTCTCCTGCCATGCCCTAGATTGCAGACCAAATTAACAGTCCTGGGACAGCCCTGGACTTGGCTATTGTTAAAGGCCACTGAAAGATCCACATAAATCTACTAAAAACAATGAAGGAATACAAACAGGACCTTTCTGTAACCGTGTCCTCCGCTATGGCTCTCCCAGTCCCAACTGGCTGGGAAAAGAGGTCGGAAGAACAGAAGGCAGCCAGGTCATTGCACAGCAGGCAATGTGTACACCACCTTGTCACTAGCTCTGTAAGTACAGCACATTTTTCTAATGCAGAATTCCACTCTTGGGGAGAGTCCCCCACTGATAACTCAGAAACAAGGCTGAAGAACCCTGGTATCTGGAGCATAGGGTCATTACTGAGGTCAAGCTCTTTATGCAGATGACTCCGCATTTGCCAGCTCACTGTAATTCATTCAAGTCTCCAGAAACACACAGGCTTTCACCCTCTCCTCAAGTAGAGCCCCACCAGTGAGAGCCTTTGTGGTCTAGCTATAGGAGATGCAACGCACACAAAGCACACACCAGTCAAACTTCAAGAGGTCAGTTTTCATGGAATCAGAGATGGCTTCTAACTGCTTATTTATTTATTTTTAAAAAGAATAAGCAAAAGAGTCTTGCTCATGGCAAGTGTTGTGCAAATATGCCTGTACATTGTAAATGTCCAGCACTAGTCAGAGAAGTGCATAAAAGACAGAACATGCCACAGTACAACAGGATAATACAAGAGAAGAAATTGAGGTGGGAGAGTGAGATGGAGTAAAGCATGCTGCAGAAGAGGATGAACGGAGGAGTAAACACAGAGGGAAGCCAGAGGGCAGAGCCAAAAAATAACAAGGAAAGAAAGAAATGAGTGGGAAGTTAAAGACGACAAAAGACATGAAGAGAAATAACGTAACACAGATGGGGGGAGGAAAAAAAAAAAAAAAAAGACAGAAACAGAAAGAAGATATATACAGGAAACCCATCCTGCCAGAAACTGTGTTTCATCAAGCCTAGACAGGAGACACTGCAGAAGTAGAGCTGAATCAAGCACAGGAAACTTTAGATACCTGGAACTTCTGAAAGGCAGGAAAAAGACTACTCAAATATCTGAAGGCACATTTAATTCAAAATTAATCTCAAAATATACAGTCCAGTTCTCCTGCTACAGAGCAGAAGTAACGTCCTTAGAACAACAGCAGTTTCATTACATACTGGCAGAAGAACCAGTTTCCAACCAATTACAAACTGCCTGTTCTCTCTTTTTCACTAGCCAGAAAGAACTGGCTAGTTCTTGGCTAGAAGGTGTTCAAAGAGTGCAGCTGCAAACAAAGCAAGGGACTGCTATCCTCCCAGACCAGTAAGAGCTGACTCTAGTCTGCTGAATTTAGAGTGATACGAAGCAATCTTATCTTGTTTCCTTAAAAGCTATCATAAATATCTCAGAGTGCACTGCTGGCCACACTGCAAAATTCTCAATAATCACACCCTGTAACTCAGCAAAATGAGTGATCAACATAGAAAACAAACAGCTTTCCCAGCCTTACGCTTTATCTGTATTGTCGCTTTTCTGAAAGCAGTCTACTGTTCCAACAACAATGGCGCAGAGCCTTCACACAGATATCTACGATATGCTAAGCCAAAACAGACTCAGATCCAGGAATAACAGATACCCAAGATATGGCCTACTTTCAAAAGTGCATTAATATGCAAAAATACGATTTTTAACTTAAGATAGATAAATCTGTTTCTTAATGCCCACCATTTGGGGTTAATTTATCATAAAACTTACTTTACTACTACTACAGCAGTCTATAATTCACTGCTGATTATACAAACCAGCAATATGTTCTCAATGTCGAAATGCTCAGGAAAAAGAACAGGGTTCCCTGACAGCTCAGCAGTAGTTAAGTGATATTTGGACTAGACTTCACTAAGTCATAGGCAAAACCACTCTGAACTTGTATCTTAGGTTTCTCTTACATGTCTTAAACATCATCATACAGAAGCTGCCTTCTAACAGCCCACCACAAAGAACACCACCTATTCTGCCCACCAGAACAGCTTTGGTAGTTCTGCATGATGAGGAAGGGAGAGCACAAGAGGTAGAATATTCCTGCACTCCTCTCCACAGTCCACAAAGCGCTAAATGAGAACAGTGCTGCAATCCATACCCAGTGGATGCCTGTGCCCAGAGCAGAACAGCTAAAGAAAAGGCTGTGAGGGTGAGGGAAAGGTGCCATCTCTCACTTCTCTCAGCTTTTTAATTGGTTTTAGCACCAGAATAGCAGGGTACTGTCCCCTGTAAAGATCAGCCTGGTAATGTAAGGCTAGCGGAAGATAAGCGTGTCAACAAGCAGGGCACTAAAACTCTACCAAACTTTCTTTGAACAATTTAATCCTTGAGTAATACTATGATTATTTTTGATACTGTTGTTCAGACCAGTAACAAAACTCTGAGCATTATTCAACAGAAGCAGAGCTTCAGCAATAAGAGAAGCCAATTATCACTCTCCTAAACTATTAGATTAGGCACACAAAATGTTTACGCATATCACCCCTCTTACTTAGCCTGTCTCCGTACCTGCAAGTATGCTGTAAAGATTAACTCTGTTCTTTGCACAAACTGAATTAATCAAAATTTTATTCATTATAAACAGGATGCAGATTCAAATCAGTGAGAGAATTTAAAAGGGCAAGTTATAAACTTTATGGCATTCAAGACACTTTCTACTGAAAATGGATAATAATCTCTTACTAAAAAAAGGATCATTTATTTTTGCTTAGACTGCTCTGGCCACATTAGTTTAAAAATAAAACACATACAAAAAAGATGTGCATTTCTAAATGCTAACAGCTTGTAAAATTAGGTCAGAAATATCAGACTTTGGCCTAACAAATCTAATGCTAAAAACATTTCTTTCAAAATGATTAGCCTCTGACATAAATAACTGTTTTACCCTTTTCATATAATGCTTTATGAAATTAGTTATTAGCGGATCTTGTCATAGACTGACAGTTATGGAGATTTGTGTCCCGAATTTCTCAGAGGAGAGAAGGAGGGAGGAAAAAAAAAAAAAAAGGCAAGAAAAAACTGTCGGTTGGCTAGAGGCTAGACAGCTGCATAACTTGTTCTTCACAGTGTTCACACTGACCTGGATTATTCTGCCTTTTGCTAGCATTTTTTGTCCATAATTGTTTAATCTTGATAAATACATGACACAAAGAAGTACATATTAAAATTGAAAAAGCAAGGCAATGGCATTCTCTAAACATATTTTATCTCAAATCACTATATAAGTTTTCATTAAAATTATTATCCATACCCCTATGTTTTCAAACACTGGCAGCTTATAACTTGGCCATCAATAGCAAACATATACAGAGAATTAAAATAATAATAATAATAAAAGTACTTACCAAATTATGATTAGTTGAATTAGAATCATCTTCTGGGAATGGGATGTAAACAGCTAAGGCCACACAATTGGCAAAAATAGACAGTAGTATAAATATGTCAAATGGTCTGGATAATCCTGTTAAGGAATTCATCAGTTTTAAATATCTACAAACTTTCAGTTCTGTTCTCTTTTCACTTTCAACATCTATAAAACAATTCTTGCTTTTAAAGGCATTTTTTCACTGACACCTGTGACAAACACTCCTGCATCACCCTTAGTTATATCACTACATCATATTATTTTCTACCATAATGACTTTTTCCACAACTTATGTTTCTTTCAGAAAGCAGGAAAGCAATACCCTTGCTGCCTCAGAACACTCTATATTAAATTCTAGAGACAAATTTAGTGAGACTGTCTTAACTCAGTATGCAGGTCATCATGGTGTGTAAAGAATACTTATGGAGCTCTTCTGTCCTCAGATATTCATCTATGTCTCATTAATGTTAATGGCAATTATATGCTTGTTCAAAGGAGAAAAACAGTTTCAGATCTCATTCATACAGGAAAGATTCCCAACAAAGCACAAGAACCATTCTCTTCTGTGACTGTTGTAGAGGGGCATAATGCACAGAGGAGAGTTCTGAGCCTCTCTTCCTATCTTTGACTGCTGGACTCCTGAACAACTTCATCTTGGGCAGAACAGATAAAAGCTGTCTTGTAAAAACTGTGGAATATAAGAGCCAGTAATTACTGGCTCTTCAGCCATACAGATTGAGATCTAGATAGCAGCGGTTTAAACCAGGAGATAAGTTTCATCTTCCCCAGAGAAAAAAAAAAAAAAAAAGCTCTTAAAATTAACATGCATAAAGTTCACCTTCAGTTTATCATTAAATGCAATTAACACTTCCTCCAAAATATTTCATTATTTTCTGTAAGAACAAATATAAGGATACTTGGATGGAACTATTTGTCGTAATTTTGGGTAGGAAGAACTAGTGTTAGATATTATTTTTTGACATTTTTCTCCTCAGTTTAAGCTACAGCTTTCACATATATCCATAACAGCTACACAGAAGAGTAAGGGAAGAGGACTACATAAAAATTCCATTCCCTCAGAAGCAGTGCTGACAGTTTAAAATATTTTTGTGAAGGAACCACACTAATATGTCCCTTAAAGCCCTTTAAACCCTGTTTGTTTTGCGCCAATGCTGAGCTTGTGTTTGTAAGGCTAATCATCATTAGTTGCTCTGTCGTATATAAGACAGAGATAAAAAATACATCTAAAACTGTAGCATCCTCCTGAGAAATGAGCAAATAATAAGAGATTGGCAAGTTTGTTTTATGACATAGTGCTACTGCGACAAATTTTGCCCAGAGTTATTCCATTTTAAATCCACAGTAATTTCATCTTACTGACCTTAGCCAAGGAGAGGCCAATTTACTGAAATTAGTTGGACTTATACCAGTTTAAATGAGAACAAGATCTGTTTCACTACCTTAAATTTGTAATTGAATTATGTTCAGAGAACTGAAAAAACAAGTCTTGTAAAAGAGTAACACTTCCTACTGCCAGATTGGGTGTTCCGTTTAAAGTAACAGAATCAGTTTTACCTTCAGTAATCTCCTGTCTTGACCAGTTGCTTCCTGGCAAAGGTACGTCACCAAGACTAATAGTCAAACTGTTTTTTGCCTCTTCCCTCAACAAAGCTGTATACTTCATTTACTTTCTTTTTTTTTTTGAAAATTAAACAATACAAAAAAAATCTACATGCTATTAGCTATTCCAAAAGAAAATCAATGTTCTTCCAACCTACAACCACTGAAGCAAAGTAAAAGCAATCTTTCCCCACCATATTAAGTCATGATAAATACATGCCAGTGTAACTGATCTTCAATCTGCAGATGCTCCTGTTCTCAAAATACATTTCACAGTAGATACATGTCATAGAAGTTGAGAAAAGGAATATATTTCAGACACTCACATATTCTTATAGCGAGTCCCTCACGTGCTCACATGACTCAAAATTTCTCCTACTTCTAGCATTGGCAAATATCACTTTTGAAAGATTTCTAGGCCAGTTTTACCTGGCTTAATGGTAGTACACCAGATTGTCATATGGAAGATAGAGGTTTGACATCTTAAATCATTAGGAACTCTCTCCCATCCATTCAATCATGTGTGAAAGGGCAATTAATGCAATACAGAGATTTGCTAAATTTGCTAGAATAGTATATCGTAGAGGAAGTTATAAGAAGGGAAGTAAAAAAATCCAGAGGAAGAAAAAAAACAAAAAAGGAAAATGCATTTGTGAGATGGATGTATCAGACTGAGAAAGCAAAATGACTATTTTATAACTGTAAAATAAGTGAAAAGGTAATTTTTTTAAAGACATACCTAGAATGTTCTCTAGAGATAAGAAAATAAAGTTCTGAATGTGAACTTCTCTTTCCCAAGAAAAAAAGGAACAGTTATGAGCTGTTCTCCCAGTTACTTACTTCAATGAAATCATACACTGTGTCATAGTGACACAGACTAAGAAGCTAGGGTCAACAGGATCTTAGGCAAAACTAACTAGCAGCAACATTAATGAGCTACCCATACACATCTAGGCAAACTAATACATGTTTGCTGAAAAGAGACATTAAGCAAATCTTGTTGATACATTCGGAAAACTCAAAGAAATAGATCATTAAAAAAAATGCATCAAAGGATACTTCCATTCTACTAGACTAATGCAGGCTCTTCGTATTGGATTGTTGAGGGATAAACAGAAAAGAGCACGGGGTGGCCGACTGTTAGACGTATTACCCTGTTTTTTGCTCTTGGCATATTGCTGGCGTTTTCTTTGGGACAGAGATCCTACAGGCTGGGTTGTGGTAGCACTCATATTTTGGGCAGCCTTTGCTTGTCTAGCAGCATCAATTGCAGCTTGCCAAGACAGAACAGTTTGCTTGGATGGTGCTGAACTGTTTGACTGAATGGTTGGTCCGTCACCAGGGAGAGGAATTCTGGTGCTACTTGCATAGTTCGTCTCTGTGAGAAAAAAAAATAATAATAAAAAAAAGAAGATAAGAGTACTCAGTTATATTTTTATGATAAATTATGTCATAATATTGTTGATAAAAACATTTTAAGAAAATGCTTGATGGTGTGATGCTTCCACTACAAATACTACATAGCATTGAATATACATGTAATGGCAAAGTAAAATAAGGTTCAGGAATTAGTACTATGAATTTAAGTTTAATCTAAGTCTCAAGACAATCGCCACACAGAAATATCTTACATTTTGGGTCTGCACTTTGGTTCCTAGTTTCCAAAATGGATGTCAATTTCCTTGTCACTGTTTTTAAGTCCAAAAAACATACACCTCCTTACAACTCCTTATAACAACCTCCTTATAACTTTGTTATAGCACCTTAACATTTACTATTTCCTCGTTCCATTTTGGTCAAAAAGAAGTGGTTTAAAGTTCTTGCACATTCTTAATTGAGAATATTCAGCACTGTTTGAAACACTACCAAACCCCAAAATCCTATAAGTAACTTAAGTCTTGCCCTATTCAAAGGAACACACACAGGTGCCTCCAACAAGTCAAAATTGGATATTGCCTGGTGATAAAGACATTCTTATGGTACCATTATCTTTCACACTGCAAACTCTCAGAGTGAAACTGGTACAAAGGATTGCTTTTGTTTTTAACAAGGAAAACAAAAACAGAAACAATCTCACTTTCAAAACATTTACTATTTCCGTCAATAGAGATGGCAACACAAAAGACTCAACATCAGCGCCTGGCAAAGAGCCCTTCCGAGCTCCGGAGCACCAGCCGGCTCCTCCGTGCACCTGTGGGAAGCAGAGGCTCCAAAGGAAATTGGAAACTTGAAGATGCCTCGGTGGGGAGCAACTAAATGACGGAGGAACGGCACAGTTACGTGTACGGCGAGTTTCAGAGGGACGATGGAGAGATCGCTGGCGAGGCAGAAGGGGAAAACAAGTGCTCAACAGTCGCTGTTCATGAAAGATGAATGAATAAGAAGTGTCTCCTGCCCCCCGCCCCCGGGCCGAATGACCCCCATCTCCTGAGAGGGGACATCGGGCGACGCGAGGGCCCCTCGTCCCGCGCCTCAGCGCGAGGGGCCGCGCTAAAATGGCTCCCGGGGCCGGCGGCGCGGGGGGCGCCGGGCCCGGCTGGGGAGAGGGGCAACGCGTGGATTTAACCTTAAAGGGCTTCTTTTTTTTTTTTTCCTCTCCAAAGGAAAGATTATTGCTTTTTTTTTTTGCCTAGGCAATGGCATAGCCATCCCCCTCTCCCTTTTCTCTCTCCCCCACCGGCTGCCCTTTGGGATGCCATGAAAACGCGGCTCGGCGCAAATAGACCACCAATCTATCACGGTTTTAACATCAATACTCGAAGTGAAGCAAAGCCCGAGTGTCCGCGCTCCCCAGGGGAGCCCCTGCTCTCCGCCAGGCACAGAAACACAAACTTGCTGCTCATTTCGGGAGGGCTCAGGATGCATCAGCAGGGAAAACACACGCGCACGCACCACCATGGGGGCTGCAGCGCTGCCGGAGCCTGTTTGCCAAGGAGATTAACGTGCGGCAGCCTCATGTGTCGCCTCCCGGCAGCGACATTACGGGGGAGCGGGCTGAGCGCGTCGGATCCAGCCCCTCCGGCACAGGGAGCCCCCGGGAAGCGGCATCTCTGCTCAGACCCGCTCCGTGGATCCGAGGGGAGCCATGTCCTCCCCAGCTGATCCCAACCGCGAGCGCGGAGGGACGCGCCCAGACCCGTGCTCCTTAGCCTGACCCGTGCCCTTCCTCATCCCCCAGCCCTTTCCCGCGGTGCCTCCCGCAAGGCCAGGCGCTCATCCCAAACCTGCCCCTTCCCTAATCCCCCCCAATCCCTCGTCTCCCAAATCCCTCGCAAATCCTCCCCCGCGCGCCCCTCCCCGCAGCCCCAGGCGCGCTGCTGCCCTTGGTGGGCGCTCGGGCTCCTACCTTCATGGTGCTGCTCCTGCTGCTGGTGCTGATGCATGATTCTCACTTTCTCCGGTGTGTGACAGGAGGGAGGGAAAAAAGGGGCAAAAAAAAGGCCAAAAACAAAGGCAGAGCCGCCCCCCTCCCTGCCCCAAGCC